TTTCTAGCTTTTTAAATTTATTAATTGGCTATCGAAGTTCCTTGTCACTGTACTAATCATATCATAGCTTAATGGTGATATCCATATAATTGTGTTATCCATATTGTCAATTAATTTTTATGTAGCAAAGATTACTGAGAAACTATTTTTCTGATTATTGTTTAACTAGGGCATCGATATCATGTTGTAAAGCATCTTACAAGGTGTGTCTAGTGATAAGCGATAGTTTACTAGAAACATTCATTATGTTAAATGCATAGACTGTTTTAATGTCTTGAAGTTGGTAGTTGTGGTCACGAACATATTTATTTATATAGATGTACATATTTTTTATCATAAGTACTTAAATTTCTCACTGTTGTCTCACTATTTATTTTTAATTTTGTTGACAAAATTGGAGAATTAGAGGCGAAATCATCTACAAGTATTGTGGTTGCCATCAGGCTGCTTCACCGAACGTCAAGTTACCAAAGCCTTTGGGTTCATAACCTCACTCATTTCCTGTATCAGGTAGTATTATACAATCATTTCGCTGGACTCTAATAATACTGTTAGTTTTTATTTGATATGCAGTTATTTCCTGCTTTGGCAATGACCAAGTTGGAATGAAACTTTCTCCCATCTTTTAAAAACCTTTGGTATCATCATGGAATAGTCTATCGACATGCGCAACCTATAATGTCAATTGCGGTATAAGTTCCCTGCCAGGTAATGTAGAGTAACATAGTGATGGAGATCAGCATTTGCTCCTCAGCTCAGTAATTTTGGATAAAATGTTAAGCTACACATGTTGATATAGTGAATGGCACCTTGTTCATGTTTATTGTACAAGGAACCAATTTTTTAGTGGCTTAGACTTTCTAGTTTTTGTTTGTGTCTCGTTCATATGAAGGTGCTACCACCACTGCATACGGATGGGTCCAGCGAAGTATAAAGTTCGAAGCACATTAAGTGGTGGCTTGAAGACTCGACCTAATGCACGATCACATAATGGCCAATTAGTTTAACTTATCGGGTGTAATATTAGGCAAAGTCCTCGGTTTGGGATATTCTCTTACGTGTATAGTTATGCATTCTTTTGCTATGTGGATTGAGCATATTAGGCAAAGGCTTAAAGAGACGAAATGCTTGGGTTGAGATATTCTCTTACGTATATAGTTGTACATTTCTTAATCTTTGTGACTCTAATTGCCCTTGCATCGTGTAATATGTTAGACTTGTTCAATATTTCAGAATCACGGAGGGATGATATTAATTTTTCGACAATACTATTGGAATATCATATTACGAAGTCAGGTGTTTGACAATCTTGAGCTATTAGGGCATGTAGCACATGGAAATTGAGGCAAAATGGTGGTCATCGATTCTTGTGTGTAAGTTTAAGGTGTCGGTGCAACAAGTCAGTCTCATCGTTCATTAAACATCAACAATGACGACCAGACCAAATCTACACATCCGACCAATCCTGCCACCGATTACGTCACGGCACTGCAGGTGCGTGGTCAACCAATAAGACGAAGTTTGCTGATCGATGCTTGACGGACCTGCTCTCCTCCAGGGACGAACAGTAGTTTGGACTCGTCATGATAATTATTTAGTGCATGACCCTGATAATGATCCTGCGTTAATAAGAGTTTTTTTGTTTACACTTACGAGAAAGCGTAATGTCATTAATAAATACCTGTTGATTAAACAAAATCTTTCAAGACCATCCATCCATATGTGAATCTGAATTGATTTTAGTTCGGTAGATGATGTTTTTGGGGTAGAAAGTGGTTTTGAAGAAGCATTCTCCTCTCCATATGTTCAATTCAAAGTCGTCTTGAAGTAGCTTTTTTCTCCCTAAAAACTCAATTCAGACGTCTTGAAGTAGCTTTTTTCTCCCTAGAAACTCAATTCAGAAATATGATTCTTAATAAAGTGAGATAATGATATTTTTGGCGTGTGATAGATTCGTCTTGAGAGAGTGGTTTTGAAGAAGCGTTCTCCTCTCTAGAGATTCAATTCAAAGTCGTCTTGTAGTTTTTTTCTCCCTAGAAACTCAATTCATAAATATGATTCTTAATAAAGTGAGATAATGATATTTTTGGCGTGTGATAGATTCGTCTTGAGAGAGTGGTTTTGAAGAAGCGTTCTCCTCTCTAGAGATTCAATTCAAAGTCGTCTTGTAGTTTTTTTCTCCCTAGAAACTCAATTCAGAAATATGATTCTTAATGAAGTGAGATAATGATGTTTTTGGCGTGATGGATTTATCTTGAGAGAGTGATTTTGAAGAAGCGTTCTCCTCTCTAGAGATTCAATTCAAAGTTATCTTGAAGTAGTTTTTTCCTTCCTCCTAAAAACTTAATTCAGAAATATGATTCTTAATGAAATGAGATAATGATGTTTTTTGCGTGATGGATTCGTGTCTCGAGAGAGTGGTTTAAAAGAAACGTTCTCCTCTCTAGAGATTCAATTCAAAGTCATCTTCAAGTAGCTTTTAAGTCATCTTGAAACAGTTTTTTTCTCCCTAGAAACTCAATTCAGAAACATGATTCTTAATGAAGTGAGATAATGATGTTTTTGGCATGATGGATTCGTCTTGTGAGAGTAGTTTTGAAGAAACGTTCTCCTCTCTAGAGATTCAATTCAAAGTCGTCTCGAAGTAGTTTTTTCCTTCTTAGAAACTTAATTCAGAAATATGATTCTTAATGAAGTGAGATAATACAGATAGACGATAAAATTATGATACCAATGACAAAGAAAATCAACTATGTATATTGACACATAGATAAGAAAGAAACAGAAAGGGTTGGCCCATAACAATTAAGAGAGTTGTAAACCCAACCGACCAACATAGGGCATGAGGCTTTCGCTGATTTGGAGTCATGTAAAAGTTAATATTTTATACGCATTCTTATTCTCACCACAGATATCATTTTTCATATATTAGGTATGACTTTTAGAGTACATGACGGCATATGATGCTCCAGTCAGTCCATTTTCTTTTGTGCACAGCGGTGTGGAGCTTCGTTTGAATCCTGAAACTGTTCCTTTTATGGTTGTTATTCTGTGTTCCTTTTCTTTATGAGCCAAAGCCATGACAACAAAAGAAGGTAGACTTCATTCTTCATGTCACCCTACTCTCTAGGGCTTAAAAACAAATCGTTCATCTACGACCCATAGTGAGGGGAACCAAAGGCTGCAAGCAAAGCAACATGAAGGTGGCCAACGAGTGCCTCAGCCCCACTCTGATGCAAAAAGCACACTGAAACCTTAGAAGAATACCTTCGAGAAAGTACAGTTTCAACATGGAGTCCACATATAATTAACCAATACCGGCGTAGAAATGAGAAACCAGAATAAGCTGAAACCATGGGGGAGAATAAGCACAGGAATAAGAAGAGTACATGCATGATTTGGCATGAAGGTAACAGGATCTGTTTGCAGTACTGTCAATGCAATGGCTCTCCAGTCGTCGTGCATGGCCAACATGCATCATCTTTTACCGTCCTTTCGTGCTGCCTTTTCCCTTTCTTCCTTTTTCCCTTTCTCCTCCTTCTTTGCAAGCTGGCTCACAGTATGGCCAAGAATAAAACTTTCGGTGGGCGATGCCCTCCACTATACCAAAGAAAAGTAGCATACGAGCTCCTGAGACAATGGCCCATCAGTGCCAACCGCCAGTTCATACAGAACTAAAACAGCTCCCGTTGTATTGGAGTCGATCAAAGATGCGCACCAGTTGCACAAGGAATGGAGGAGACGACGCTGCAGCAACTTCTTCTCTTTGTTAACGAAGAGGTTGCGGAAGATTTCAGACGAACCAACCAACTTGTACCTTATGTTCTTGCAAGTGTTCAAGATTTGAAGTCAAAGCCCCACCGCCATTGACACTTTGGGAGCTCTAAATTTTGTTGCAGAGCCCCCCCCCCCCCACCTGTGTTGAGATAACGTTGTTATTAATGTTCGAGTTTGATTATGATTGGAATAACACATTGTTTAGAATCTGAGTTGTAAATTAGATAGGAGTCTATGGTGGTTAGCTCTCATGTGTGATCAGATAATATTGATTGGCTTTATACTCTTTATTTAATATATTTTGTTATTATAGGACTGCAGATGAAATTTTGATCCCAACATCTTTCTTACTACTAATTAGTAAATTATCTCAAAATTTAATAAGTGAAAATGACAATACTAATTGAATGATGTTTTATGTCCTTAATTTTTGATAAATCTAAATTTATCGAATGAGATTTTAAATTCTCAATTTTTGTAAGTAGGTCGGATATCGACTAATAAAAAAATATTTTTATTGTTCCTATTAATTTATTATTATTATTATTGCTTGATTTTTTTTTCTTTTTCTTTTATCTTCTCTTCTCTTATTTTTCGATAACAAGTGATATCTCAACAACAATTAATTCTCGACAATGCTTAGATTTAAAGCTGAATAGGGAGAGGAGAAAAGACGAGAAAGAATCTGAAGCAATTGTGATACATTATCTTCTAAATCTGTCAACAGTTGGCTGGAGAGTGGGAAACCACTGAAACCTCAGCAGCTAGCAGAAACCAGCATTTTGACCCCATCCCCTCGTGCATACCTCCGTCGGCGTCGGTCTGACGTGCTGGGATTTACTACCGCAGGGGAAGAGAAGAAGACGCATACATTAAGCATAGCTCTGAAAAGGCAAAAAGTCAGCGGCTTGGAAAAGTTCCCTCGACAACAAGAAAAGTCAAATGGTTATCTACAGATATCGCTCTTCCCCTCCGACGACGACGCTTCCAATTGGAAGAATGTCACCGTGCACGCGAATCAGTAATTCCTTTGACTTCTGAATGCCCTGTAAAAGGGAGAAAGTCAACGCCTCATTCACGCAGACAGAACAGAATGCGCACACCATTACTGAGATCATTTTAGTCTTTGGTGTCTGGTTTGAATCAGAAGTCAGAGGGTACGATTCCCGCTTATATAAACTCCCCCTCCTCGGCTCTCTTCTTCTCATACTCTCATTGTCTTGAAGCGAGACTACTCTTCTCCTTTTCCTTCTTCTTCTTCTTCTTCTTCTTCTTGGCAACAAGCTTGCCGATCACCATGTGCATGGCTGCTATCCCCGCGGGTTCAGCTGCACCATGCCACTGCGACCACCACCAAGATCCCCATGGCCTCCTCACCGCCCCTTTCGTTGTCGAGACGTCGCCGACGAAGAACCAAGCGGAGGTGTCATCGCCACCAGCTCCGACGCTGAAGCCTCTCGGCTCGGTGTCCTTGGCGTTTGTGGAAGGGAAGTCCATCCTGAGCCTCGCACTGCCGATGGTGTTGACCGGCTTACTCCTCCACTGCCGCTCCATGGTCTCCATGCTCTTCCTCGGCCGGCTCGGAGATCTCGCCCTTGCCGGCGGCTCCCTGGCCATCGGATTCGCCAACATCACCGGCTACTCTGTTCTCTCCGGCCTGGCCATGGGCATGGAGCCCATCTGTGGCCAGGCCTTCGGGGCTCGGCGTTACCATCTCCTCGGCCTGGCGCTCCACCGCACTGTTCTCCTGCTGCTCTCCGTCTCCATCCCCATCGCCCTCCTGTGGTACTACATCCGCCCCCTCCTCCTCCTCCTCGGCCAGGAACCCGCTCTCGCTGCCGCCGCAAGCTCTTACCTCCACGCCTGCCTTCCTGACTTAATACTGCAGTCATTTCTCCATCCTCTCCGCATTTACCTCAGGACGCAGTCCATCACTCTCCCGCTGACCTTATGCGCGGGCCTCGCCGTCGGCCTCCACCTGCCTATCAACTACCTTTTTGTCTCTGTTCTTCACCTCGGCATTGGCGGCGTCGCCTTGGCCTCTGTTTTGTTCAACTTCAACGTCGTGCTCTTCCTCCTCGTCTATATCTACTTCTCCGGCATCAACCGCAGCACCGGTGGACTAAGCTTCAGCTCCGAGTGCTTCAAAGGCTGGAGCTCGCTTCTGAACTTGGCCATCCCCAGCTGCATCTCGGTGTGCTTGGAGTGGTGGTGGTATGAGATCATGATCATCTTGTGTGGTCTTCTCCTAAACCCAAAGGCCACTGTTGCTTCCATGGGCATTCTTATACAGACAACCTCTCTCGTCTACATTTTCCCCTCGTCGCTAAGCTTTGGCGTCTCCACTCGGGTCGGCAACGAGCTCGGCGCGAACCGGCCTGACCGAGCCCGCCGAGCCGCCACGGTCGGGCTGTCGTGCAGCTTCGTGCTCGGCCTCCTCGCCTTCAGTTTCGCTTTCTCGGTGCGCCACTTGTGGGCCAGGATGTTCACCGGCGACTCGACTATTCTAGAGCTCACCGCGTCGGTGTTGCCCATCCTCGGCTTGTGTGAGCTCGGCAACTGCCCACAGACCACCGGGTGTGGGGTGTTGAGAGGCAGCGCCCGGCCAAAGCTCGGTGCCAACATAAACCTGGGCTCCTTCTACGTCGTCGGCATGCCGGTGGCGGTGGGGCTGGCGTTTTGGACGTCTCTCGACTTCAGTGGCCTCTGGCTCGGGCTGCTCTCAGCGCAGGCGACGTGCGTGGTGCTAATGCTCGTCGTGATCGAGAGGACCCACTGGGAATCGCAGGCCGAGCGGGCGCAGCAGCTCACAGGGGCAGCCACCGACGACACTGAGAAAGAAGCAGTGCCAAAAGTTGCAGCAGCAGACGGAGACGAGACAGATTGGTTGGTTATCAGCGTAAAGATCGAGCAATGAGTTCATCAACAACATGAACTATCATCCTATCTCTTATGATTTCTCGGCTTGTTCTCTTGGGTAATTATAGAGCTTGAGATGCATGTACTGCGAGAGGTTTCTCTACCTGGTTTTTTCGACTGAGAGGTTGATCATTCCAATTACATTCTATTTGAGACTGTACATTGTTTCCACCAGAAAGAAAAAGGAGGAAAATTTTACCTGCTTCATTCTTCATCATTTTTCTTTTCTTCCTTCACTATATAAAATTTAATTTCTAGCAAAAGATGTTGGGCTTCAACACATGCAACCAAACATAAAGAAGGTATATTATATATATATATATATATTCGTTACCATAACTTTTATAATCTCTCCATCTCTGATCACTTTATTCTCTTAATTTTTTGGTCTGTTGATCTCTAATATTTCTAGAACTATTAAACAACATTGACGAACTGTCTTTTGGTCAACCAGTCTGGTAAACGCCTGACATGAACCACTACTGCATCCTTTCGGTCCCTAATTGAACCCAGATTTAAGGCATTGTTTGTGTTGGGTTTGACTTCGAGCTGCGGTCAACTCCAAGTTTAATTAATAGTATACAACGTGAGAATCCACTTCCAGGTAAAAGCATGCGATGACCCTTTCTTCTTCTTCTTCGTGCTTAAATAATAGAAGTGGAGACAGGGTGGAGCCCAGGAAATGATCGACCTCAGGACTCTCGACCTCCTACTTGCCACCTCCTCGATGCTTGGCTTCTCTAAGGCTCATCAGTCACTTGCAACTTTTGCATGCAGAAGCCGTGCCATTGCGGCAGAATCAATAAAAACGCAAAGAGCCAGGTGGAATTTGCTGGTCTACGTCGGCCATATTCTCCCTGTCGCCACCATTCGCGACGGCCATCGATTCGCCATTTGTTTAATACCAGCGACCCGTACGGCATCATTAAGCTCGTCAATCTGGAGCAGCCAAATTGCATCTGAATCCGACCTTTGCATTTGGGATTTGGCATTCCAAACCTCCAAGGGCCAACATCAACAAGAAGCGAGGACTTCCTCCGACGAAGTCAACGCTCATTCATGCACGAGTATAAAAACCCCTGAGAAGTCAACATTAAGAAGAATTTGTTAAGCTTTGGAGAGCATTATAGTAATGTGGACAGTCTCCTGGCATCTTTAGCGTCCGCTGATTGGTCTCATCCATGGTGGCACCTGCCCTTCGTGTTCTTTTATTGAGGGTGATCATGATACAGATCGATCTCGAATATGAACCTTCGAATAATATAAAAGAAACCAATTCATTTCTTTATTCTTATATCATTTGGTCATCAACTCGATGTAATGTGTTGGGCAGAATTGACACCCTTTTTCAAGAGGAGTTGTTGTATTTGGATCTCAAACCGGCTTTCTACATCGGAAGTTCTTATAAACTTCCCTCGATGATTTATCGAAAATTGTTTTTCTCGACTTAGAACCTTCTATAGATAGAAGATCGCCACTTGGATCTTCTCTTACGATTTTTCTCGACGAGGTTTCTGTATTACTAATGTCAAGAGCATGCTCGACAAGAATAAAACAGTATGACAACTTGCATAGTGATTAGAAAAAGATTAGAAGGGATAAATTTATTAGGATATAAAATGTGACAGGCACCATTGACTAATTTTAATCCAAGTTTACTGACTAAGATCGACAAGTGAGGTTTTGATTATTTATTATATCAAATATCAATCTCCATAACTGATCCATGTAATGAAATGGATGAAAAGAAAAGATTAATGGCGAGGAAGACTTGTTTCAGCTCAGCCAACCCAATCACAGTCAAGCCAGAGTCAAACCTTTTGTTCCATAGAATTAATGGCGAGTTCAGGCGTTCGACCGTCGCCATCTGCTAAGCCTATTCATCATGTGTCACTCCGCGAATTCTGCACAGTAACATTCACTATACTCTCGAAGGTTGACTTTCTCGATGACGGCACTGCATCATCGACGGCAACGACATGCACATGAAAGAGAAGAGAGGAGGTCAACTCATCCTCGCAAGGAATCATGTTGTATCACTGGATGATTGACTCCTCCTATATCAGTTCGACCATGTGCTACATATACGAAACTACTGACTGCATCGACCGGCGTTATATGAATAGCTACCTACGCTACAATTGCCTGTCTAGGAAAATTCATGTGAGAGATGAGCTAAAGAAGAACTTTAGTATATCATTTTGTTGTTAATTTTGTATTTCTCATCACATCAAAAATTAAAAAGCTACTCATTTCTATCTATCGAAATGATTTTGGGCATAGAACTTCGCAATGACTTTATAATAATAAGACAGAAGACTCATTTTCATAGTGAAATTCTATATGCACAATTAATCATCTTCCTATTTCTTAGATGGTAGATCAGATCATCTCTTCCATACTTCCCCCAAATAGCGACGGATGCAAGACTCCTCCTTCACTGGAGTCCACATTTATATCAATCAAAGGCCTTTTTATGTTCCACAGAATGGTTGATTCATTGTGGCAGCCCAATATGTGTGGCATTTAAGCATCATTCGGTCTTGTTGGAACATTTCATTATTTTGAAACCATTTGATGTAGGCCTCAAGCAAAGAGATTCTTATGTTGTGCTACATGATATGCCTCTGGTCTTAAGTTCAATGTGCAGGCACTATGTCATGCAAATCAATTTATGTATGATGTTGAGATGTCCACGGTGTGCAAATTTGTTCTTCTACGCAGTAAAGTAAACCCATGGAAGAAAAAGGATAACCTCTATATATATATATATATATATATAAATACATACATATATAACTTCGTTCGTACGAATGTATGGGTAGTATCTTAATACTGTGTTGAAACGAATAGAAGACAAAGAATTATTGAATAAGCTTTATTGAAGAAGCTCGAATGAAAAAGCGAAAAAATCTTATCTGCTATTACTATGAAATGTGGTGTAGCTATCATGTCTTACCCGAGATGGCAATCAGGAAATGATGCCTTTTTATTGGAAGGTAAGATGTGCTTCGCAAATGCCATTGAACGTTTGTGTATTGTGTACTTATGATCGCGACCATGTGCGATGTATTATCCCTCGATCGAGAGAGGTGAGCCGATACCAATATTATATTCCAAAAATAGAGTGATTTCCATTTTTTGAGATGATACATCATATTTTTCAAATACTCAAAATATCGTTATATCAGAAATAATTATTTGCCTACCAAGAGCTAACCTACTAAACCAAACTGGACAGTTTACGATGTCTTTGTATTATTTTCCGAACTGATTACTATGTTTTTGCTCCAATATCAAAAATACTATTATCTCATTCAAACACATTTTAGTTCATCAGTTTGTTTATCATTCATGTAGAATGAATGAAAATAAATATTATGAACTTCTTCAAAGTATATAGAAAAAAGATTTATTATTTTTATCTTTTAAATATAAAATTGATAGTAAAATAAAGATATAACAATACTTTAATATTACATAATTGATAATTTGATCTCATGCGATCGACACATCGATCGATGTCAATTTAATTTCCAACATACGTGATTGACACTCGGAGATTATCTAGATATTATCAACCACATCGTATATATCACATATTTCTAATATAATTCTACTTAGCAAAGGAATATACGAAACCATATTAATATATGTTTGAGCATAACAATCCCAGAGCCACATTATAAAATGTTCCTTCTAGTGTATTCCAAAACACACAACATAACTTTTGCTTAGTGCTCTTCATTGCTCTCTACCCATAGTTTTGACACCACAACTTGTAAATTATCTTAAACATCGAAGAAGTTTTATTTGATAAGCTCATGATATAGTTTTGTATAATTTAGCATTTTCTAGATTCAATCATTTTTAACACCAACAACAGCCAAACATGGAATAGGATCTCGATTAGTTTCGAATCAACATCAATTTCAGATAATTAGATTTCAACTTAATAATTTGACACTAGAAAAAGAGTCATTTCTAACCTATCTTAAGAAAACCATGATTGACCCTCTTGGGCAAACCCAGAAGAGTCTAATCCCTCAAGTCCTACATTCGAATTTGTAGGAAATCCCATCATTCTTGAATCTACTATTTTTCATCTTATTCCCTTATGTGATAAATCATGTGTCAATCAATAATCCAATCCATTCCTCCCTGCCATTATAGTCCTAGTTGAAGCACACTACGATCTGTGTCAACAAGTCCAAATTCCTTTCCTCTCCTAATTGCTCCTCCACAACCCCCTACACCCACTCCAAGTGCAATTGTGGAGTCTCAGCCACTGCCAGAGGAGGCAACAAGATATCGAGGGACATGAGGAGTCGGTCATCCAATCAATTGAACTCTTGTTCCAAGTCCACAATCACTTGTTCGAGATGGATCAACGTCTTGAGGATATTAGGAAAACTTCAAAGTAAGCTAAGCAACCCAAGCCAGATCTATATTTCTTATATTTTTTATAAGAAGCATACAGGAAGAACCCATCCCACTAGGGTTTTGTCTCCCTTCGCTTCGCTAGAGATATACGATAGAAACTCATACCCATCGAAACATATTGAGGCTTTCACCATGAAAATGACACTCTATATGACTACTAACTCCATTATTTATTGGAGTTTCCCAACCACATTGCGGGAAGCAACATGAAAATGATTCGCCAAGCTGCCTATGGACTCAATTTTTTTACTCATTTAGTTGGCCAAAGAATTTAATTTAAATTTCATCAATTACAAGCTCTCAAAGAAGCCAACAACCTCCTTGCCAACTAGGTTCAACGAGGAGGTGCAATTGGTTTTAGATCTTAAACCATCTATCCTCGTAAACATATATATCAATAGGCTACATCTATCTAGATTCTTCTAGCCTATGGTTATCAAACCACCCGTTATATACTTAAAATTTATTCAAAAAATCAATCAGCATATTGTAGTTAAATCCTTGGTTGTCAAAAGGAAGCATGCTAAGAAGGGGAAGAAGCCGACAAAGGAAGAATCATATGCAAAACAACCAAGAAATAAAAGGCCAAGGAGAGACCAAACTCCTCATAAAGAATTCACTCCCTTAAATATGTCTCACATAATAGTTTTTATTAAAACAAGAGCAAATAGTATTCTACGTACTCCTTAGTCACTTTAAGCTAACTAGTAAGTAGGGATCGATCAAAATATTATAAATTTTATAAAAATTATGATCATGACATA